GATGTCCTTAAGTTCCTTGCAGCAGGAACCCACTTAGGTGGCACCAATCTTGACTTCCAGATGGAGCAGTACATCTATAAAAGGAAAAGTGATGGTTAGTCATTGTTTTATTTTTTTGTTACTCCAGCTGTAAGTACAGATTTTGAGCTTGCTTATTCTCGTGGTTAGTTCTGGGTAATTTCTTGGTATCATCTCTTCCTCAAATTTAACCAGACTCCTAGGTTGAAAACATACTTTAAATGTTCTGGTTGTTATTGGGAGAAAAGGTTCCTGCTCCAGGGGAAGAATACATCAGTTGGCCGCGTTATGGGACTTGGGTTGGGTGGTGAACTTGAGAAAGTTCATGAGCCGAGTTTCTAATAAGTTTCTAATAGCTCCCATAGTGCCTTCAACTTCATAGGTAATTATACAGGCTATTGAACTGAATTTTGAGTGGAAAGTGGGGTAAGAGGTGGGGATAAACAATATAGCTTGGAAGAACCAGAGGAGGGAAGGCATTAAGTTGGCTAAGGCACTTATTTTAGAGATAAAGCTACCAAGGACTTGGGAGTGACATGCTGTAAAGGAGATTTAGGATGAATCTTGCATCAGTGAAGATGATAAAAGGGAAAGAATGGCAGAAAGTCAGGAAGTGGATTCTTAAGAACCACTGATGGACAGGAAGTACAGGGAAGGAGAAAGGAGAGATGGATTTAGCCAACTGAATCTCGTCTGCACACTATTAAAGCTCAGGGTGGAGGCCAGTCTTGGCTCATGAACTTCTGAGTGTCGGAAGTGTGCTACATTAATGGCAGGATTTTCGCTAACACCAGTAGAGCTTGCCTCTGTGACTGGAGTTTGGTAGTACTCGCTGCCACATACACTGAACTTGCAAAGAATGATTGCACAGCCAGGTCAAGTGTTACAAATCCTTCTGCCCTCACTTAGGCATCTACATCATAAATCTGAAGAGGACCTGGGAGAAGCTTCTGCTGGCGGCTCGTGCCATTGTTGCCATTGAAAACCCTGCTGATGTCAGTGT